CGATACGAAAATATAGCAAATTTATCCTGTTATTCTTATTCTCACCGCTACTAGTGCTGTACGTTACCAGAGAGGATATGTATAGTCTAGTGAAGTACACAATCGGAAGGACTGAAAAACTACTATCTATATAAAACCTTTCTCTAGAAAAATGCGTAAGATTTTATAAGATTGTTCGACCTGTATTATTCAAAAATCGTCCACGGTCACTCAATTGTGAAATGGATAGTGATGGTTTGATGTTATTATCCAAATTTTTCAAAACACATTTTATCATTTAGTTACGCTAATCACAGTGACAGAAATTATTATCGTTGCTGCTCTGGTTTCTACATCGACATATTCAATGCATTGAAAGAACGATTAAAATTTGAATATGAATTATATCAAGTACTAGATAAGACTTGGGGTGCTAGGGATCCTTTAACTGTAGGTATTCTGAAACTATCCAGATGTGTGTATTACAAAAACAATTTATATTACATTTAGAATGAATGGAATGGTCTTATGGCTGAGCTTGTCAAACATCGTGCTGATTTAACACTGACATCGTTAAAAGTAACAACAGAACGCAATAATGCCGTTGATTTTAGTGTGCCATTGATGGAAACAGGAATTGCAATCATTGTTACCATGCGGCCAGGGGAAATTTCAACAACTGCCTTTTTAAGTATAGTGATTTAGGCTATATATTACTTATAATTAATATCATGAATGTTTTTACTTGTTCAGAACCATACGATTATGGAATTTGGATACTTACCTTAGTACTTTCATTACATGGTGTGGCAATTTCAATTTATTCTTTTGAATATTTTCAGAAAACCTTTGCAAATATTCGAAAAGTAAAAATAAGACGAATAAAAATTACTAACTATAATTGAACAGAATTACATTTAGTATAAAACAAATAAAAATAAAAAATCACTACGCAACTATATGGTCGAAATCATTCATCCAACGCAAAAAGGTAACATTTAAATCGTAAATTAAGGGTACCCCTTTCCTCATTTTGGGCTTTCCGTAGAAATGCTGTGAAATAAAAACTAAAAATCAATAAGGTTGCATATTTTAGTACTGATTGGAAACTCAATAGAACACTTTTTCGTTTTTGTTTCAAGTTTTTAACTATTGCCGTTCACTAGTTTTGCAGAAAACTCGGTTTTTCATTGGACCACATTACGACCCCTCCTGAAATTTCATCCGACCCAGTTAAAAATTTTACCAGAGGTACTCAAGGTCATATCGCAGAGGTACAAGTTTGGAATTTTCTTTTTGACCTTTCTTTACCAAGTTATAGGGTTTCTAAAATTTGAAAACTTGGTTTTTGAAAGTTTTTTGGTATTTTTCTTATAACTCGGCAAAGAAAGGTCTAAAAGAAAATTCCAAACTTGTACCTCTGCGATATGACCTTGAGTACCTCTGGTAAAATTTTTAACTGGATCGGATGAAATTTCAGGAGGGGTCGTAATGTGGTCCAATGAAAAACCGAGTTTTCTGGAAAACTAGTGAACGGCAATAGTTAAAAACTTGAAACAAAAACGAAAAAGTGTTCTATTGAGTTTCCAATCAGTTCTGAAATATGCAGCCTTAGTGATTTTTAGTTTTTATTTCACAGCATTTCTACGGAAAGCCCAAAATGAGGAAGGGATACTCCTAAGAGTAATCGAATTCAGAAAAAAAATCGTGTTCTAGTAATGAATTTGATTAGATCTTTTCCGCAATAAGGAGATTAAGTTTTTAGACGAAATAACATTTTCTCAATCTGTTTGGTTAAGTTGGGTTATATTATTTAAGGTAGGATAATTTTTATTCGTTTAAGTTCATCGAAGTTAAGATGTTTTCTTATTCCATTAGGCTCCTGCTAAAGTTATCTATCCAAAATGTTTTACATCCAAATTTATGGTAAGGATACCTAGTACAATAACACTCATACTATTAATACAATGAATATTTAACAGGGTAATATTTGGAGTTGCTTTTGCTTGGCATTTACTGCAAGTTATACAGCAAATTTAGGTATGAACCAAAAAATCTTCTATCTAATGGAAAATGATTAGTTAGGAATATATTGATTATAGCTGCATTTATGATAACAAAAGAAGTTTATTTCGAACTAACTGGTATTAATGATGTTCTGGTAGACAAATTTTCTTTTGTTCTTAAAATACTATAGATTCGATGATTCTGTCTCATTTCAGTTGTCAAATCCATTGTCAGTGAAACCACCATTTAAATTTGGAACAGTTGCCAATGGAGTTGGTATTTTTTAAGTTTTCTTAGCTTCTATTTTATATTTTATTGGACTTTAGAGTACAGACGAGGTAGTAAAAACAAATCACAAACAAATTCATTCGTACATGAGACAATTTATGCAACGAAATATATCTGATGGAATAAAAGCTCTAAAAGCAGGGTAGAAACAATAAAGAATTACCTGTATCATAAAGACAACTTTATTTGGATTCAACATTGACTTTTCTTTTTTCTTTGCAGACGCTTAAATGCATTTTTGTACGATGCTGTTGTTCTCGATTATTATAGTGGACAAGATGATGAGTGCAAATTGCGTGTGGTTGGTAACTGGTATGCTATGACTGGTTACGGTATCGGCTTTCCAAAGCAGTCAAAATTCAAAGCTATGATCGATAAAGAAATAATTGCATTACACCATTCAGGTAAAGCTAAACAATGTTTATCTAGATTAAAATGAAACATTCTAATCTTCTTATAGGCGAGATTGAAAGATTACGACGATTCTGGTTTACTGGTGCATGTAGAACAAATTCTGAGGGTCATTCTCAGCTCAGTAGTAGTCAGAAATTGGGTGCACTTGATTTTATATCAGCATTTTTTTTACTATTTGCTGGTACTGGATTAGCAACAATTATTTTGTTGTGGGAATATGTATATTCACACATTTTACGATCAAAAAAAACAAACTATTCAAAAGTGAGATTTGATTGTCGGTATCCCGTACGTAAATGTACTCGTAAGATATAAGTAGAATTCGTGTAAGCATACGCAATGTAATGCGTATGCTTATACGAAGATATTCGGAGTAACGCTGAGATGTATCATTCTATTCTATATTAATATTCTAACAGATTTACGTTAATACTATTTAGATCGTTCAGAGTTTGGGAAGAGCGTTTTCGGAGTATCAGCCAATATCAAACACGAAAATGACCAATAACTATCGTTCATTAAGTTCGAAAAAACGTGAAAACTTTTTATTAACAAAAATTTCTATACTAGAAGAACGAATAAAAGAATTAGAAAACACGTATGAGAGTATTTCCGGCAGAATAATACAGTGAATCGATATTGCATCAACTTAATCTAATATGTTTTCTCGTTTTAGGCAACTTCAAGATCTAACGGCAAATTGTATTCAAACACCCTCAAATGTCAGACTAAAACCCAAACTTGAAACTGAAAATGATGGAAATCAACTTTTATTCGAAAATTCACTCATTGATTCGTCTCAAAATATAACTGCTAACAATAATAATAAAATTCAATCTACAAATATGTATGTCGTACTACCGCTTCTCTACACAGATGACACATCGACACATTTTGAAACTGTAAAAACATCTGAGCAAATGTCTACTCCTAAGAATAATAGAGTAAGATCAACATCAAGAATTTGTTTAAACGACCTATCGCAACATAGAACTCAAAACGAATCGATCAATACAAATAACACTGAACCTACGAGACACGAAATAACAATGTACGAAAGTGTTGTATAATTTTCTCCTGTGTTTTTATTTCTAATGAATCAGTTATGAGATGAAAAGTTTGATTTGTCAGCATAACACAAAACATACTATTAACAGATGAAGAAGGCATATTAGACTGGCTTCGGCAAGATAATATACATTCGTGGTGATCCTCCCTTTAATAATAGTCTGGATATAATTCACTCTTTTGATTTTTTTTACGTCTATATGTCCTTATTCCTGCTACGAAAAAAGATAAAATAAACAGCTTTAGAGACAAACTATAATCGATTTGTGACAATTATACGTTAGGTCGCTGAGTCTGTGAACAGTATGATTAAACAATTTTGTTTTTTTATCGCGTTGCGTCCAATTCATTATTATGGCCCCCCCCTCAGAAATGATGATTTTCAGTCAAAAATCGGTTTTGAAATACGTACATAGTCAGATAGCCTGAAGTGTCTACTTCCACAAACTGTATTGTTTTTGGTTACAAAACTGGTTTTTCGGGGATTTTAAGCAAGTTTCCTGAGAGCCTCGAAGAACCGGGTCTTCAAATAATAATTTTTTCCTGGATACTTATACAGTCAAAATTTTTATTTTTTGATCAAAATAAGACCTCGCACAACTCTGTATGACCTTGTCAAAAAGTTACAGACATTTTCCTAGAGGTCCTAAAATCGAGTATTTCATACAGCGTTTAATACATCTTTTTCTCTATATAAGAATTACACCTGAAGTGCGTCCCAAGATTTTTAATAGCAGTTTGTCGTAGAGAGTTCATTCTTTTTTTGTTTAAAAGAGGAAAAGAAACTACATGGACTGACAAGCGTCGATTTTTGAATTAGGTCTTCGTTTTTTGTGAAACTGAGGAGTTTTAGAAAATTGGAAAGGCTTTTTTGGGTTTTGGAGATTGTTGGTTACCTAGAAACCAATAAAGGCTTAATTGAAAAATCGGCGCCGGTCAGGCAATGTAGTTAGGTGTTTAGTTTAAAATAAAACAAACCCGAACTCTCCAGCTTGAACTACATTAAAAAATCTTGGGACGCACTTCAGGGTCCTTTTTGGACCTTGATCTCGCGAAAACTCCTGAAGTGTAAGACTTGGAGACAAAAAACTCTTTTCATTCCCGTAACTCATTGTGCCTAGCATTTATGGACAGTTTCGTCAAGATCGGATGTACGGTGTCGGAGATAATTTCTGAGGGAGGGGAGCCCTTAATGCATGTTTTCCGACAAAATAGAATTTCAGTATATTGAGTCTTATCATTTAACGTATTGTCCTTTATTTATTTTTGTGGAATCTAATTGTTTATAGATTCTATTCAATTGTTCACCCTTAAAAAGTTTTTGCACTAAAAGTTAAGAATTTACGGTGATTTTTGCAGAATATTTTCGTAATTGTGCGTTAAGCCAAAAGATATTTAAGCATACTTTTGAATTAAAATCTTTTTCATAAAATAATGCGTAAAACATCCAAAAGTTTTGGAAAATAACACAAAAGTCTTGATTTGGTAATTGTTCGGAAAAAATGTCGTAACTTTTCCATAATATCGCGTAACTAGCAGTTTTTTCTGTGTATAACGCGAAATTGTCTCTAACGCATTATTTTCGATGGAATCTACATGCCAAATAGCGCTTTATTTTACAAATTTATTGCACAATAATGATTTTCTTACTTGTGTAAACTGGAGCACAGCTCAGAAGAATAGAGATATCGGAAAACTATTTTTGTGATATCATGGCACTATCGTTTGGGTGGAGACTCAAGAAATGCCTGTTGACTGACTTTAGGAAGTGATCAGAGGATACGTGCAAAATAACAACAAAGCCAAAATATTTAACTCAACTTGATTCGACTAAGCAAGGAAAACGATAAAAAAAATGGTTTTTTTACTTTATCTTCAGAAAAGCAGTTCTTCATCTATATCTTGTGAAACAAGAAAATTACTATAAAAGGATAGCGCATAACTTCGAGATGAAAAACATCTGAAAATTATTGCATTACCAAAACCATTTTGCGTAATTACGCCTAAGGATCTTGCGTAACTGACCTATCGCAGAAAAAGTCTAGGACGAATGCCACAGACCTTTTAGAAAAAAAGAAATTCAGTTGTAATAAATCAAACGTGGACGGTTTTCTTTGTTTCGAATTTAAATATATGACTGCCTGTCTGTATGATACAGGTGTAAAGTATATAGAACAGAGAGAAAGCAAGAGACAGACACCGACGACATATAGAGATAGAGGCTAACAAACATAGAGGAAAAACAGAAGAAAAATGAATGACTTTTACTTCTCATTAACTAATTTATACTAAGTCCAAATGACTGACAATTCATATGGGAGATAGAGCAGAAAATTCTCTACAAGGTGATGTAATTTTTAGTCAGTTTACTCCAAATTTCCTGTTGAAACTAAATGGTTTAAGTTCATTCCAGCTATTTTGGCTGTAGTTATCATAATTACCCCAAATGTTGGGGAATTATGATAATTCTAAACCTATTCCCTGGAAATTGATTAGAATTAATTAATGTTAACGAATTTTAGGCAAATTTTTACGTCAGTAGATAGCTAAGAGTCAGCACTATCTACCTGCATAATACTGATTTTCTCTGGTGAAAGATGACATAAATATGTTTAAAATATCTGAAAAGTTTTAGGCGATTATCAGAATTACCCCATGTGACTCTACCCTTTGCATTTTTTTACTATCCGCCTTGATCACGTTAAAATAATTTCGTTGTGTATGCCAAATGCCAGATATTTCCTCCCGTTATTCTACAGATTTATCCGAGGTACAGAATTTCCTAGATATTATGTCGAAGTGGTGTGTAGAAATGAGATAGATTTAAATATCGATAAATGCTGCTATATGCCGTTTCTAATCAAAAACCACCAGAGCAGTTCCCACCTCTTTTATTAGGTGGGAAGCAAATAACGGTCGAAAAAAATATAAAATTGCTAGGAGTTTATCTTTCATCAGATGTCACATGGAAATTTCATCTTGAAAATACAGCAAGAAGGTGCAGGCAAATGTTCGGCGTTATGAATCGAATATTCGGATGGGAGGCCTGAACTTCAGCCCAAGAACTTTTTGGCCCGGGCCGAAAGTCTGAAAGGAATTTCGGACCGAACCTTAATTTACCTAATTAATTTATAAATAATTAGTAAACTTCATGGTGCTCAGCAGTACGACATGGCGCTCGGCAAGACGATATAGTGCTTGGCAGTGCAACATGATGTTTAGCAGTTTTCATTCAATTCTATTAGAAGTGAGGCAGAGCACGATACTCTACGAATATAATTTTAATTTTATTCGACCGATGTTTCTCCACCCCACTTGGGGATCCCACTTCCCAGCAGACCAGACCTTTTCTGGGCATTTTCATCATTTTTCAATGAAACACTTTCATGAACTGATGTCGTCAGATTACAATCTATATGTACAGTGCTGCAAAGTCTTTTAATTTCAATGAGAATAGAGCTTGGAAAGATGCGTCGAATGCATACCTTGTTGTCGTGTGTTGACATGATTCTATGGGTGAAATATGGTTTAGAAAAAAAGCTCATTTTTCGGAAAACACGATTTTATAAAAGTTCTCCTGAGAACTTCCTTAACATTTTAGAATTTTGTGTCCGTTACGGATTTTGCTGCGCTACACATATAGATTGTAATCTGACGACACCAGTTCATGAAAGTGTTTCGCTGAAGAATGATGAAAATGCTCAGAAAAGGTCTGGTCTGCGGGAAAGTGGGGTCCCCACAGGTATATAAGACCATGATGCTGTTGATTTGAAATCTTTTAAACGTGATATTCGTCATTAAGGCCTCGAGCTGAACTAGTGCTATTACTTTCAAACTGTTGGGATATAAAGTCGATGTAAACGTGGTACGTTTTCGAGAGAGTAACCAGGCATGAAAGGTTTTTTTTTTTTGAGGAATCGGAGTTGGACTTTAACTTGCGTTTCTTTTGAAAGGGTCGGACTCGAACGAACTTGAGTTTTTGTATTTTGAATCGATTCTAGTTTTAACATTAATTAAATATAGATGTAATGAAAGAATCGGTGTGACACAACCGAAGTTTATGAATGAGAGACTCCTGTTCAGCAATACACCTTCTGCAGGTCTTATAGCCGTCCTGTCCTCTTGAACACTACTCTTTGCGATAGGCAGATTGAACGATACAGTCTTACTTTGGCGAACCCAGCTATATTAAATAATTTACAAGCCTCCTTCTCGACTAGACAAGTACAAGAATTCGTTGTATAAGGAAGTGGGCAGATAGACAATGCGTTTGAGGCATACTCTAACAACAGTATCGATCTTATGTAGTAACTTCGAGTAGCATTGCGAATGTACGAGTGGGTATACAAATAGTGGTACTGGATGGAACCGAAACATATACAGTTTCTGATGTGGTTTTGGAGCCGATACTTTCGACGCCTTCAATAATGCTTTCAAAGCATCCACTGCAATTTTACTGTCCGCGCTCCGAATGATGTAAGTTGAATCCCGAGGTGTTTAACGGTGTCTGAATCATCGAGATGCTTTATCCTTTCACCTCAAACATAAGCTCTGTGGCCACTTTCGATATTTTCCTTTGCAGCCCTTGACCAAGACTGTTGACGTTGAGTTCTAGCCCTCTCGCTGTTAAAAGGTCGATTCTGGTATCCAGTAGACTCTGTAGCCCGACTTTAGAGCCAGACAGCAAAACAAAATTATCTGCAAATGCCATGGCATTTGCCCTTCCCACTCTGTCGAGACTGTATCCGAAGCGATCACCTAGCAACTCGAAAAGTTCATCGAGCACTAAGTTGAGGATGATACAGGATCGCCAGGTTTTACTCCCTTTTTCAGCTGGATCAACAACGAACTCTTATCATCATACGATATACTGGTATGTGCTCCCGCATACTGATTCTCCATTAATTTGATAGATTCGTCCGGAGCTCCTGTGCGCAACAACGCCCAAATCACTGAGTCATGCGGTATAGAATCAAATGCCTTTAAGACATCCAACAGACACAAATAGATCGCGTTAATGTGCGCGTGCGTGTCGTATGTAGAGATGTTGCGTTCTTGGTTCTTGTGCAGAACCAGAACCGCGGTTCGATTCCGCATGAGGAACCGGAAACTCGGTTCTCTTACGTCTGGTTCTTCATCGGGAACCGGAACTGCGGTTTCTTAGCGATTCCTTTTTTCGGAACCGAAACTATTTGATTTGCCTTTCTTTTAACAAGATGAAAACATACCATTGACAAATAAAGCTACAAAAAGATATATTTGCCTATCATCATTTGGAAGAATCCTTTCGTTTACTATAAAATGAATTCTGTTTCGTTGAATTGCTACTACCTGAAAAATTATTTTCCGGTTCTGAGCTGAGAACCGGGAACCACGGTTCTGTGCTAAGTTCGGAACCGAAACTGCGGTTCTTTTCGTTTCGGTTCTAACTCGAGAATCGAACATCTCTGGTCGTATGAGATGATGCAACACCGGTATGTCTCAACTTTTAACATAAATGAACAGAGAAAAATGAAAAGCGAAATAACAACACCTTCTGTTTCACAAGAAATCGAAGATGTTGTCTGGGAGACGGACATGCAAAATAACCTTATTTACGAAAAATCAAACATCTATCCAGAGTTCAATAAATTGAAAAAGAGAAATAAACCACACTCATCAAAAAAGAATCTAAAAGATTACCAAACTCGAAATGGACTCGGGACTCGGACTCAGTTCTTAATGTTAAGGACTCGGACTCTGTATCCCGTCGAACTCGCCAATGCCTGGTCGAAACCCCGTCTTGAGCGGAGCTAAACATTCATTATTGCTCATTTCATGAATTTTGACCTTCTTCAATCTCCTACACAGCTTGTCTAAACGTAACGCAATGACATTTTTGACCTAGTATTTTCAAGTTTTCTCAAAAAATAGAACTATTAGAAAGTTCGTTTTTGCGTCATTCGATGCAACCATCAAGTCCTACGTATTTTGAAAGAATGAAGTCGGTGAGTCTGATTCTTGAGGAGCTAGAGAGATTCTGCGGAGCGTAACGCAATGACAAAAAAAGACCCCTAAACCGCAACCAATGATCATAAAATGGTATAGCTCTTTCATCAGCTACCTGATGGTAAAAATGTTTCTTTGATTACTCTTTTCCTTGAGTTATAAAATGTCAAAGAAAAACGTAACGCAGTGACATTTTTCGTAACGCAGTAACACAGTTTTTGTAGACCTCATTTGGGGCACTTATCACGTTCGAAAACTTTTCATATTAACAGGGCTTGGATTTGTCATCGATTGTACTCAGTCTACACAAGAATTAGGCTCCTACAGCCTCTCAGGAGACCGAAAATTGTACAGAAAGTTGGAAACTCTACAAATATGTACAACTGATTTAAAGGCACTAACCGCAAAAATTCATAAGTCATTTTGTAGAAAATTAAAGTCTGCATTTAGGAACATGTCACTCAACTTTCTTTCGAACAATTTCTTGGTTAGAAAATTCAAAATATCCGATTTATAGCGTCAAAATCCAACTTTTATGAACAATAGATTTTAGATTCGTGATCAGAAGAAAACTGCATCTAGTCATATATTCAGATGTATCGAGTTCGAAAATTGTTTTTCAAAATACTTAATCAGCGAAGTCACGCGTTACGTGCACAAGCTGTATAGATAGTTTAAGTGCATTTAGACGGTTAGAAGCTCAATTTTACTTTGAATGAATAATTATTGATTGCGATTGTTCTGCGATTTATTTCAGGTTATGAAAATCCACCTAAAAACAATGTCGAAGAATCACGAAAGGAAGCACTTTTTTTTTTCTTAGTCGTTAAATCACAGACATTTATCTTAGACAGCGACATCTGAGCGATTGTAATTCATCGGTGCTTTCGTGGCCAATAGACGGTCGGACGAATCAAAAGTTTTTTAATATATTTTTCAGAATTGTACAGCGACCATTTTTGAGGGCATCTTGTGAAATCAGCATAAGAGCTTGTTCTTGCCGACTGTCAAAAACAACACGAAGTTCGAAACGACTAGACGTCAATTTTAACTCTGTGCAAAGTGACAACAGAACATCATGAAGAAGTGAATAGAAATTGATTTTGATCGGTTTTTTCTAAGGATAAGATATTTTTTTGATAAAATGAACTGCCTATTCATAAATGATAACTTTTTCGAGTAAATTCGACTGAAAGAATCTCAGAGCAAACTCTGAAAGCTTTCAATTCTTCAAAATTTATGACGATTTGATGGCTCCAAGGTGGGCTTAACAGAGTTATTTTTCAGTTTTTTTTAAAGCTTAACGATAGCCATCTTTGAGAGGAAAAACTGACTATAAAACGTGTGTAAAACTCAATGCTTTTTATTGCTTATAAATATGACGTATTAATAAAATAGCTGTGACCAAGGCACAGAAATTCCATAGTTCGCAATGAGAAAATATTTTACATGCAACATTTTAAAAGGCAGAGAAAAACCATTAAAAGCTTACTCTTGAGGAAAAGTTTTATTAATCTTGTTTGAAACTAGAGATATACTACAGGACTTTGATGGTCAGTGTATTGGTACAAAAGTCCCCTAAGTCACAGATCGTTCTCCACTTTCTTGACAGGTCAAATATAGAAAGTGTTGCTTCTTTCCTCATTGTTCGTAAATATCTGAAGTTGTCTACGCATTGATGGTTGAATATTATTGGTAAAATATCACGTATAAAGCAGTAAGCTCATCATCATTTTAGATACTTGTAACTATTATTTCTCTGCGTTCGTCATTAAGAGAAAGAATGTCATTGCCTGCTCAAGTACGTAGACTAAAAGAGGAAATTAGCACATGTGCAATATTTTTGTTTAATTCAGGAAGAAGAAGATGCGGCTCAATTAAAATTTCCAAAAGAATTTGATAATGCGGAGCCAATGATGATATCTGAAGTTTTAATGATGTTAGAAAGTCGACGACAACAGCAGCAACAATTAAGTATGAATGGTGGTATGGGAGACGATGACGATGAAACACCGTTATCAGAAGCGTTCAATGATACCATAACATATTGTGAACGCTTTAGTAAATTTAAAAATAAAGAAGCAATTGGTGCTGTAAGAAATTTATTATTTCCACAAGATAACAGTGGTTCATTCAAATTACATAAATTTGAAGCGGCATTATTATCAAATCTTTGTCCAACACAAGCTATGGAAGCAAAAACATTAATACCAAGTTTAGAAAGTAAATTAGATGATGACGAATGTCAAAAACTAGTTGATGAAATTCAAAATTATAGAAGTTTTCAAAGTTAAAGAGTACTTATCTGTAAATATTGGTGTCGATATGTTTTTTTCTTTTAAATAAAGATGTTGGATATTTTATATTACGTGCTAAGTGGTTGGTAACTTGTTCGACTAACGTTTAAGAGCAAAGTCCATTGTTTACTAAAAATATTATTTTTTTCAGATTTTGACGTTTTGATTATTTATTTTATTCTTACATCTTCTGTTGGATGGTTGTCCCGTTCAACGGGGTTGGCTTATTTTATCAAATTAGAAGATGAATAATCTGGACGGGGGTGAAGCGAATATAGGCGTTCAATATCAGCCTGAAGCAACGTCATCATCTGCACCCGTAACCACAGTGGATCCACAAAGACCATTATACACAGTACCGGGAATATTGCATTTCCTGCAGCATGAATGGACACGTTTCGAAATAGAACGTCAACAATGGGAAACAGAGCGAGCCGAACTACTAGTAAGACAAATGTAGAAAACTGTTTACATAAATTTTTAACTGTTTTTCTTTAGGCTCGCATTGCATTTTTACAAGGAGAACGACAGGGGCAAGAAAATTTAAAAAGTGCACTAGTGAAACGCATTAAAATGCTTGAGTATGCACTCAAACAAGAAAGGTAAAAGTGCAATTGATCACTTACTGAATTATTCTAACGGTCTACTCTTTTTTTACAGATTGAAATTTAACAAACTGAAGTATGGTACAGATAATGCACCAGTTGAAGATCCGAAATTGAATGCAGCAGAAAATCATCTGGAAGACGGTACGTCACTGCTTATGTTATACTCTATGTTCTTATAATTGTCATTTAATCTTAAAAAGAGCGTTGAAATTAATGTCTCTTTTATCGGACGTTCGACAAAAGCTTTTCTTTTTGAACTGGTAAATCTTTCTGAATTTTTTAGATGATTTGAAAGAAGATACTAGTCTTTCATTTGGTGGCAGTAGTGTCTCTTTCAAACAAGGGCGTCAATTACTTAGACAGTAAATAAAGAACAAAAAAATATAAATTTTGAATATTTATACTCACTTTTATTCTTTAGGTATTTGAAAGAAATCGGCTATGTCGATACTATCATCGATATACGTTCTACAGCGGTCAAAAAACTGCTTGGTATCAAATCTGATAATGATTTAAATCCAAATGTTGTTAATAACAATATTGGAACATCAAGTGGAGGAATGAATGGTGATTTAAAACCATCATATGATCCAAAAAGGTAATTTCGTCAAGAAGAAGAGCAATAATCTAAACAATTGTTAATATCACAATTTTTATGTTAAGGGTTATACCAGGGATAATTAAAAATGCTGCAAATGATCTTAGCAAATCTGTGTTAGCTTCCTTGGTGTTTTTGAAAGATGAACAACCAGATGGACAAGATGATGATTCGGGGTAATACTCAAAACACAAGAAAAAATGATTCTTTTATTTATTTTGAATAAATTTTAGTGATGATGATCTTGATGCAAGTCGTATAATTGTCAAAAGTAACAATACCAATATTTCCAATAATATTTTGGGTGGAAATAGTAATAATAATCATCATATTCAACATCACGGTATGGACACATTAAACGATTTAGAGAGCGAAGAAGCAGCATTACAAGAATTCGATTTTCTTGCTGATCCATCATCAAATGTTTTGGGCAATGTGGGATTGAATGAATTAAAAACACATGATGCAAGTGGAAATGAATGGGATGTTGATCAATCACGTTTGCATAGATTAAAAGAAGAATACAAACGTGATCGTATTGGAAAGAAACCTCATCAGCAACAAACTTCCTCATCTCTCCGTAATACATTAGTCAGTATAGGAAATAATGATAATGGCAATGATGATACATCGAATGACGCACGTCCATACTCTGATGATGAACAAAGTAAGTTACTCATTAGCGTTAGTTATCAACGCATAACGGATTCAAATACTTTTTTCTTTACAAAAATGACGTATAGTTCCAGTCATCTCTCAAGCTCTTCTTTATCTTCTTTTTACATTGATTAATTCTGTCGAGATGAAATCTAAGCTCAATTCAAGTTGACATTTCAATCTAGAGGGAAATTGCATTTTCACAGCTTTTTTAATATCATAAATACGTAATTCGATGAAGTTCCTTCGTACTGCCATTTGTATTATTGTATTTTAGCCATATCTTAACTACAACAATAATTTTGCTATTAAAGACATTGGTTTCGTTCAGACAACTTCAGTACTCCTCCTTTATGCCGTCACTACTTCTTTGTTGATGTGATATGCTTATTAAAAGAAATGGGTTCAAGTAGGGTCATCTTGAATTACATTAAATATTTTTGATTTCCAACTTGAGTTGCATACGGGTAAAATTTTGAATATCGAATAGTAATTTACTATATTTGTTGTCCAATATGAAAAGTATCTTTTTGAATTGTTATCAACATTCGATCAATTCTGTCGGCGACTTACAATAGATAAAATTGTTTTTGTCAAAGGATTAGGAACAAAAGTTGTGAATAGGTGTTATACAACTTGCTCGCTACACATATGTCCATGTTTTTCATTTCTTTCCAAGTGAGCCGTGAAATGGTTGATTCAATGATGTTCCGTAATAGTAAAAATTTTATGGGAGAGAATGCTATGGAAGGTCTCGATGAATTAGCTCGAGTCACCGTACAAAATGATAATGAACCACTTTATGATGTAAGAAATTGTTAATTTGTGTATTTAGAAATAAGCGTTTTATGTATTTATTTAGACGACGACAGAATCAGTGGATTTTAGAAAGACTTGGAATGTTAAATTTGTACTGAGAAGGTAGGCTCAAATAGAATACAAAAATTGAATGTACATTTGTCTATTTAATGATAAGTCATTTGGATGGCGTACGTTGTGTGGCATTTCATCCAGTCGAATCTGTTGTTGTGACTGGTTCAGAAGATCGAACATTAAAACTGTGGAATTTAGAAAAATCTGCTACAATGAGAAAGTAAAAGGATAACTCTTAAATGAGATGATATGACTTTTTTTTATTTCACTTAGATCTACATCAGCAACCCAAGATCTCGAGCCAATTTATACATTTCGACGTCATACGTAAGTTCTTATGTCGTTAACATTCGTTCTACTCGTTTTCATAGCAGTTCTATGATACAGTATGTCAGTACATCATTTTAGCGGTCCTGTATTATGTGTAGCAATGAACCCATCTGGTGAACAATTTTATAGCGGTGGATTAGATTCAATGATTACTGTATGGAATATACCAGACTCAGACATAGATCCATATGATGCATACGGTACGCTTTTTTTATTTTGTTGACAAAAGACAACAATATTAAATGTTATTGTGTGTCTCAAATACATTTTCCTGTTATAGAACAGATGTCGACAATTATTACAGTAGGATTAGTTCTTATACGTATTCACTAGTCTGTTTTTTATTTGCTTATTATTTGAATTTTACACTTCTATTAACTAAATTTGGTCATTTTTCCTAGTTCTTCTTTTCCAGATTCAAACATATCGGGTAAAGTATTAGAAGGACACACGGATGCTGTGTGGCGTTTAGCCATTTGTGGGCAAAAATTATTATCCTGTGCTGCTGATGGAACTGTCAGATTATGGGATCCAAATATCAATAATCCATTACAGTCAATAATCAATTCTAGTCTAGGTAAGAAAAGAAAAAATCTAAATCTTAGTTACATTCTTGGAATTTATTTCAGAAGAAGGGATACCGACAAGTATCGATTGGCTTACCCAAGAAACAAATCATTTTGTTGTATCCTATGATACGTTTAAATCCGTTATTTACGATGTTGAAACATCAAAAGCCCTATTACGTCTCGAAAATGACAATCAAACTTCAGGTTCGAGACAATACCGGATGTCAGTGGTTATAATAATAAAAATAAAACCTCTTCTTATCTTGTAATTCAGATTCGTCTTATCGAATCAATAGAGTTATCAGTCATCCATCCCAAGCGTTGGTTATAACAGCACACGACGATCGAAAAATTCGATTTTATGACAGTAATACAGGTACGCGAAATATCTTTTTAAAATTTATAGAATGCCTATTTTTATATCGTTTTTTTAAAGGAAAAATGGTTCATTCGATGGTCGCACATTTAGATGCTGTTACTTCTTTAGCTATTGATCCTCAACAAACATGTCTTTTATCTGGAAGTAAGTATCAAAAACCGTTTCTGTTTGATTTTGATAAAAATAGTCATGCCAAAATATAATATAGACACATCACAGGAAACCTTATATTTGAAATAATTGTTTATTAACATCGCTGATAGACAATTTGAGTGTACTATACTTCTGAAAGCTTCGCAGTTTATTCTCTCATAAAATGTTGAATGCGACTATAATTTATTGGATATAAATTATATTCACTGATGTTTAATTTTGTGTTTAGGTCACGATCGTTCAATTCGTTTATGGAATCTAGATAATAAAAGTTGTGTACAAGAAGTGACCGCTCATCAGAAAAAAGATGATGAATCTGTCCATGATGTTGCATTTCATTATTCTAAATCTTATTTGGCCAGTGTTGGCGCAGATTCTATAGCAAAAATATACGCATAATACTAATGAACTGACTCTTGTGAATTAAACCATACGAAAATAAATGTTGTTCACATACTTATTTTTCATGCATATGTGTTTTTCATAATAAGTTGAAAGAGGAAACAAAATAGTTTTGTAGTGTGTATTTGTATGTTTTTTGTTTCATTCTTCTTATGTTTCTTGCAAAAATGAGTATCAACAACAATGGGGTCCTCCTGTCCTCTCCCATGCCGTGTAGGTTATAAAAACAATGAACTCTAAAAAAATCCGTCTACATTTTGTACATGCGTTTAATCCCATCATTCTTTTGTGCACTAAGGGGCACATTTTGACGTTTGTGTGTTAATCCATGTTATGTGAAACTGTTTTTTTTTCAAGAAACAAAAAATTAGACAACTATTTTTCTCTCACTCTTGACTGTTTGTTTACCCTATTTTTCATGCAGGATTCTTTTTATCTTCGTGTATATATATATATATAACTATATAAAATAAATATCTGTCAGTTGTTTACTGTTCATTTTATCACGCTTTCTCTCATGTTTCAAGTCTTCATTTCACATTAGTCACTAAAAATCAACAAAAGTGGAGGTGTGCCGCTTTCCCTTTTTTGCATCAACTCGTATCTTTGTTTTTGTTCTAAATATAAACAAATTCGTTGCGTATACAGATATAAATCGTTCAAGTAGCGTCTTTTTACTGTGTAGTGGACTGATATCAGTGAAGTGCTTATTTTCGGGCCTTACAAAAATCTATCGTTTGATGAATTTGGTTTTGAGGAATGATATAGTCTTATTTTTGAGAAATATCTCTTTAACATAAGTAGGTAAAAAAAAAGAAGCGTATTTTGTGGATAACTATTTTTGTTGTTTGAAGAATAAATTTATTTAATTCAACTGAAGCAAAAAACAAAAATTTCCAGTTAGAAAAGAAAAGTGTGCCAGAAAAAATTACAAATTCTGTTAATTCGTCTAAACTACTACCGCCATCTCGACAACTCTCATCTTGTTTCTGTTACCTACAAGAGCTTGATTAATTGTTTTTATTCTGACTAAATGTACGAAAATCTTGTACTCGCAACAGAATACAGGCAGTATGCATGCAGGTTCATAAGCTTTGATAATGGCAGTAAGATTGACTATTGGCTAGGAAGATTCTGGCCGTTTATTAATCAGTACATCATCACCTTATGCATGACAAGGTAACACTCCTCTGCAGACGAGTGTTAGCTTGTCATACAAAAGTATACACTCGCTCGGTCTCTTGAATTTAGAAACTTAAACCTGCGAACCTAAATATTTTATCGAGACCATCCAAAGATCCCCAGAGGTCTAAAGAGATTTCTAAATTCAAGACAATGCTCACGCCTCCCTTCGGTTGATGTTCGCACTCAAGATAACCGAGAAATGTTGTGAACTTTTGTGTTTCTACGGAAGAGCGCATAATATGATATAATGCTAAAAAGTTTTCTGAACTTTCTCTAAAGATTCCAAGAGGATTCGAAGCATCCCTAACCGATTTGCAATGACAGACTAAGTTTCTTTGTCCATAGATCACTGTTTTCTGTTTTCTCGCGACATCTGTCTTTGAACTACAGGAAAAAGTTCGCTTAGGTTTTTTTCCTCTGCATCAGTAGATATTTTAGATCGTCTCTTTGAATATTTTCTGTCTCGTAGTTAAAAAAGAATTTTCTATCTTCCTTTCTTGTAATTAGCTTATCCATAGAATATCTGACAGCCATTTTTCCGTATTTTGTGCACACATACGCAGACAACCATTTTGTAAGGCCCTAGGCTAAAGTCAAGGGAATATGTATTTGTGAGTGAATAGAATGATTAAATATGAGACATTTTGAAAGAAAGTTTTATTATATTACTTGCCTAATTGCGCTTTGTTAATTATTGAACAAACTAATACTTTCCCCCGTATAATAATGTTTTATCAGAAAAACACCGACGTTTCGGCTTGGAAAAGCCTTTTCTTAGTCAAAAGCATTAATTCAAACCCCAGATCCGTAAGAAACGGAGCATATCTTTTAATTTCAATACCCTTTGTTAATTGAGTTTAAATAGATCTTCTATCCGCTTGTTGTCAGCGTTTACCCAAGCAGACAAACATTTGGAAAAACGCGTTTAAATGCTCAAAAGGGAACCGCGATTGTGAGTCAGTAACGCTCATTAAAAAAACGCAAGGAACGCGTTTTTTGCGCAAAATTTTCACTTTCAGACCGTGAAAACGGCGA